TTTGTGAGCCTTCTTTAAACTGTAATATCTTTTATTCACTTTCATCCAAATAAGCGCCAATTGAATCAGTGTACGTCAGCCAACGTAACACAAGCCGATTAATTTCTTGATCGAGATTCGATGAAGTCGACGAAGGCCGTTTTTGTCTGGTCTTGATTGGCGAAAGCTCTACCAGTGATAAAGTTATCGTAGTGCTTGAGAAGATGGTAGTTGGTTGGCAGGAGGTCTGGAAAGTATGGTGGATAAGGCAGAACATTCAATTCATTTAATTTTCGGACAGTGATTTGTGAAACGTGCGGACGCGCGTTTTCGTGGGGCACGATCGGACTTTTTCTGTTGACCAGCGCCGTCTGCTGTTGACAAAATTTTCCGTACACTTCTTCGATTTCCTCACAATAGGACTCTGGATGTGGTGGTGATCTGGTCTGGTTGTAGAAAGTTGTAGTGAATCACATCAGCCGCTGGGTTTGGTGGGTTTTGGTCTTTAGGTAGTGCCTGGGTGACTCATCGGTGTCCAACCACTGTCCTGAACGTCTCCTATTGTCGTAGAGAATCCACTTTTTGCCACACGTAACGGTATGATCCAAAAAAGTATCGTTTTGGTTGAGCAAAAGCAAAGAAGCACAGATCTGGGAACGTGAAAATTTCTGTCGGTCCTGGAAATCGCGGGACACCTACTATACGAGCTTCTTTATCTTTCCAATACGTTTAAAACCATCAAACGTCGCATGGGAGCTGACACCCTGTTCTTCCACCATCCAAGGCACCGTTCGTGATGGGTCAGTCTCCACCAGGGTCCTCGAATGCTCGTCTTGGATTACTATAGTTCGACCACTTCGGGTCTCATTTTTAAAGCTAAAATATCCGGAACGAAATTTTGGAAACCAATGACGTATACTGCGTTCATTTCCGAATGACTAGTTGAATTTTTGGACTGTTTCGGCAGCGCTTTGGTTCAATTTGAATTAGTTGAGGAAAATTGGCCGAAAATGGCTCAACATCATATAGTCACGGCTCTGCCGAACTCTAAAAACCTGATTCGGACCCCAGCGGGGCAGGCACAACGCCAAACAGAGGCGACACCTACTGTCTTCCGACATTCCGAGACTCTGCATATGATGATTCAATTGACTGTGATCTGTAAGAAGGTCCGTTAGACATCGTAGTTCATCCATGGTATCATTCGAAGCATGATACCAACAACTGTTTGGTATCATGCTTCGAAGGGTGAATAAACGTCTTAGAGTGAGCCAATCCTGGAAGATTCTGCCGTTCCAAATGAAATGACCTCACCATTGAGGTAAAGTGGCGTTAGAGGGCATCAGGCAGACTATCCACCAGGAGCGACCACAGAATGGGGATACAGTACCCCACTTTGAGTAGGTACAATAACTAATTCTATTCGTTTGTATCAAGTTTCTCACATGTTTTCTATTTTTCTCGTAATGGAGAAGTTGGAAAAAAAGTTTTCCCCAAAAATGCATACCTACTGAAAATATTTCCTTTTTATTTTAAATGAGGAATTAATCAATTGTTTCAGTTTGGTTATTTCTTGCGTTTTGTATAAAACAGGCAGCACCTGCAGATGCTGTTGATACATTTGACGATGATGGTGGATTTCATTGATATTTCCTTTTTAGTCTTGTCTTGGAAGTTTTCTTTCCTCTTCGAGCAACTTTTTTGACGTGACTTTTGAAACACCCTTTACAATTTTCTCAATACTCCTTGAAGTAAGACTTGTTTATTATTATGCTCTTTTGTGGTGATCACCACGTTGGGAATTTCAAAACTGAGGCTCGCCTCATAACAATTCAAGAACCAGGGAATTATTCAAAGTAATGTAAATTGTGTTCTCGCTTTTTTCCCGGCTTTACTGACTTTGCTAGACAATGTACGATTTTCAGTGTGATCCCGACGAAATTAACTTTCTCGATTTTCATGAACAGTTCTACAATACGAGCCGAACAACGCTGCAGCGAAAGAATTCTACCCACTCATCATAGAAAAGCTCCAGCAAAGTAAGTAGCTCCCTTTTGGAATTAACTCACAAAAGGCCCGCTCGCATATGAAATCCTAATTATGTGGCTATTACCAAATAATTGTTTCGTGAATATTCACATCGGTTAAAACCTGAAAATACCCAATAATAAATAGTGTTTGAATGTTTTGAAACTTCCGGAGATGGGGCTTGAAACAGTTGCTGCTATACAGGGTGTTTCAAATTCGATACTTAGCATTGGGATCTCGGAAACTATGAGAGATACGAAGATGGTTGAATTGGGGTAAAGTTGCGCATTTACCTGACTAACAATATGCCGTTGGGAAAGTTGGGAAATTCTTCGAAAAATAAAGCCACAAAAAATAAAAACCATTTTCCGAAATTTCTGTTTTTCTCGGATATTTCCGGATATATTTGCGCAACTTTGCCCCAATTTAACCATCTTCGTATCTCTCATAGTTTCCGAGATCCCAATGGTGAGGATGGAATTTGAAACACCCTGTATTGTTACGTTTCTTCCCGTGGGTTTACCAATAATTGACTACAATATGTTATAATCAAACTTAACTTTATTTCACTATCAATAAAACAAAACACTTCAACTACAACTTCAACAATTATTCGAATGTCTATCGCCTTATTAGATCGCTATTCACCGCACTGCCCGCGAAACTTGACTGTCCCGATATGCGAGTGGTTCGCGTTTATATTTAGCAATCGAAAGCTGCAGAAAATTCATCGGAATTCCATGGAAGCTGGTGACATTATTCTCGCCACATCTAGAACGGCCGCGAACATCCAACATTCGCGAAAAGTCGGTCGGAGTGGGCGCGCCACGTCACAATTGGTTTATGGCTACCAGTGGCGGCCGGTATTATTTTCTTTAGGGCATGATTTACAACTATATTTTGTTAAGATTTTAGTTGTTAATTTATCGTTTTTAGCGATTGGAACAGTGTGGAAACTTGAAATGAAAAATGTTCTGTCCAGCTGTTTGTCAAAATTATTGGTGATATCTTGCATTATAGAAATGTATTTCTTTTTTTTTGTGTCCCAATTTCAGTTTTTACATGTTACTAGCTAAGGATGTACTGGTACATAAATCAATCACTTTTTCCACACCAGAACACTGTCCCTCGACAAGCGTTTTTATCAATTTTTATCATCTGCTGATGATGCTAACTATATTATCAAGAAACAGTATTGTTGTTTTGGTCTGGGAAAAATGTTTCCTTTAAATTCATTTATTTGGAGATATTCCAATTATTGGCTACCTTCCACCCCGTATAACTTACAAAATATAAATGTTATCGGCTTGAGTCTTGTAGGTACCTTGATCCCTGTACAGATTCCTAATGTTATTGATTTTGATGAAATTTCATAGCGAATAAAGATGGAGGTAACAATGAAAACGAAAGCGAGGATGAAGAAATCAGTGAAGGAGGTTCCAGTTCTAACACGGATTCAGAAAATAGTACTTCTGAGGAGAGTAGTGAAGGTCAAGAGGTAAGAAACGTATTGTGAAGTTGATGGTACTCAATATTATTTTGTCGTTCGTTCTGGGTTGAGATTTGTGTAGCCTTACATATGAATAGCTTATTATTCGATAGGAAAAGTCGCAAGTTATGGTGTCTTAGAGATTTCTTAGAGAACTATCCAATTTATCTTTTTTTGATAGAGAGTTTTTACGATTATGACATTTCAGAACATCATCTCTACTTCTTGTTCAAATTCAGAAATATCCATTTATTCACTAGATCCAAAAGATACTGGCATAGAATGCCAATCTACGATCGACAGTCTATTTCTAAGCTTTTAGTTTTCGGAACGGTAGAAAAGTACTCTTATAGAATCATATCCTTCGCGAGATTGCTTCTTGACTTCATTTTGTTATATTTATACAGTAGCATCTACAAAAAGTATGTTCAGAGTTTTAGATTATCAATATATAATTGAAATTGTAATGGCCCTAAAGCCCATCCCCGGGGAACTCCCATTTCGTGTTTGGTAGCTATATCCCCACAAACATATTACACACCATCACTGAACCTAATTTTTATTTCACACACAAAAGGAAGAAGAAGAAATAGAGGTGGAACAAAGCGGAAGCGATAAACAGTCTAAAGGATCTTCAGAAGGAGACGGTACAACAGGAAGTTATTCTAGTTTGGAAGACGATGAAGCTGAAGCTGTGGATCGATTAGTTGCTTTGGCAGCAAGATATCACATCGACAACGTGAATCTGGGCAACGGAAATAAAGTCTGTGAGTAGTTTTTTCTTAATATTCGAATAGTGTTGGTTTCTCCTTGAGAAATTATACGTCTCCATATCATACCAGATGACAATCGCTAAACTAACATTCCTGCACGAGACTACAAATGAGAAAACTCAAAATATATAACTATGAGTATTTTTTTAAAAATACTCACCTCCCAGTAAGTATTTTTGAGTGAACAGAGAGTATATCGAGTGAGCCATCTAAAATTTACTGTTGTCCGTCAACTCCCAAATAGCTTTTTTCAAACCTTTGCCCTACGTTTGATGCTCTTGCGGCGTCACTTCGCGATACACAATAATGATTCGTCGATGCAAGTCATCTAATACCCGTGAGTCAGTTGAAGAAGTGCAATACATGTTGTTTTTCATGTGTCTCAATAAAAAATCTACAAGACTCAAGTTAGGTCACCAAAAAGGGCACTTAATTCACCCCTTTGTTCTATTCAGCGACCTCGAAACCTGCCGAAACCTGCCTCTTCTTCTTATGCAGGATCATTCTCTATGACATTGGTGAGAACTGGGTCGAGGGCATGTTGAAGAAAAGGCAGGTAAATATCACCAGTTGAACTTCAAGGAAGAAAAAAACCAAAAGACAAGTTTGCATCTTTTTATTTTAGAGCGATTCAGTTCCGAGAAATTTTGCCTACCCGTAAACAATTTTGCAAGAAAGATTATGGAATAAAAAACTCTTTTCACTATCACTCGTTCATCATATCCATTTGAAAGAAATGGAGGATAACGCTCTGGCTTAGGTGTTTATAAATATTGCAATGGTTTTGGTTCAAAATTTGTCCCCCTCACAAACAAATTTGACTTGTTTTTGATGACTCACCCTATATATAAAGCCTATGTGATAAATAGTTCAAAAACCGACTACTAACAGGAATGCCAAATTAGCAGAATAGATTATAATTATGATTATCATGAAAAGTTGTGTGCTTTTTTTATGTTACTCGTAATCATAGATACTTTTGAAATTGTTATTAGGTTGTTTCAAAACTTTTGACCGTTTTATTGTCATGTGTCTCTTCAAGCACTTTGATAACTTTCTCACCGGTAGAACCTTCACCAATCAGGACCAGGCAAAAACGGTCTTCGTCGACTTCATCGAATCTCGAGCACGCAATCTTTATGCTAACGGAATTGTTCGACTTGTGTTATGTTGGCAAAATTGCACTGGTTCACAGTTTTAAGTACTCAAAAAAACGAATATTTTATATTGGAAGGAATGCCAGTAAAATAATGCCAAGAAGGCAGGAACTATCTTATTTGATATCCAATATTCGTAATTTTCCTACTGAAATTTAGAACAGATTTGTGTTTTTCATAAAATTTGACGAGGAATCGCCTCCGAGAAAACATCACCATAATGTTGAAATATTGTCATGAATGCAATCATTTTTGACTTTGGGTTCATCAGATTATCTTTAACCTCTTATTGACGCAACCTCAGCAATAAAAAAAGTGTATATTACTATTTCATTTTGTTGAAAAATGAGCAGATATTTTCCCTCTCCTCCAATATTATAAAGAAAAAGTTGTTACTATTATTGTATTGTATAGTTATATTGTACCAATATATTCTTCATATTTCGTGCTGCTTGAGCTCTGTACGAAAATTAACACTGATATCCTTCCCAAGGAAAAAAGATCATCATCTTATTCTATGTATTCAACATACGGTTGAGTAAAATCAAAATTTGAAACAAGAGATTAGAGAAAGTACCACTCTTTTGAAAGAATAGTTCGCTATCTGAAATCTTTACATTGGTTTCTCTTTAATTTTTTGCCATGCATATGATAATACATGGACTGGACGTGATTTTTACATATATTCTACCTGCGATCACAAAATGCGTTGGTCACTGCATCACAGCATGATATGCCAAATCAAATCCCAAAAAATTCAACTGGGAAATATGCAACACAAAACATCCTGACGCATCTGACGTTTAGTGTATGAGTTACGTAATGCCAGGACTTGAATCTCATTTTTTTTTTAGTTGTTGACAGCCACATTCAATGACAAAATTTGGAAATGTTTCGAAAACAAAAATTAAAACATTAAAACTTGTAAACTTCTTACTCATTATAAACATTCTTTGAGATAAGTTGGACAAATGCCAGTACTTTTTGGACTATTTTCGAATGCTATTTGGACTTGAAAATGCCCCTGCTACCTTTCATTATGTGATGGAGAATATTCTTATATATAACAAATTTGATAGCAGCCACATTCAATGGCAAAATTTGGAAAAGTTTTGGAAAGAAAATTAGAAAAATAAGACTGTTGTAAACTTCTTACTCAATATGAACATCCTTTGAGATGAGTTGGACAAATGCCAGTACTTTTTGAACTATTTTCGAATGCCATTTGGACTTGAAAATGCCCCTGCTACCTTTCAGCCACCTACCTGCCAGATACAAACCAATACAAAGCTTGAGTTGATGTTTTCCATGTTCCTCTGAAACATAAAAGCAGAGTAGTTTGTAGAAAAGTGTCTTATATTTCACAATTGCTTAGGATATAAAAAACCCATGTAGTTTATTGTAGTGAGTTGAATGGATAAATAATCAAAATTTACAACCAAGATAAAGAAATTGTGTGTCTAATGAAGAATCTTGTTAAGTGAGAAGAAATCAATGCCGATAATTTGATTTTCACTTATTTCTATCTTTATATAATCAATAAAATATATTGATGGTGCAACAGTGCATTTATTACTTCCGACTCATTGTATTTATTTAAATAAAATACGTATCAGGCAAGACTGAATGCATTTTTACTGTTTTGTATCAGATTATCAAACAGACAAAAATGTGAACCGTGCCTGATATCCAATTTTATTTTATCATATCTACTGGTAATACCTTGGCCTAAATAGACTTTTCTTAACCAATTCGAAACGTTCAGTAACTAGTAGCATCAAATAAATACTTGAGTGTGAAATAACCATGTAATCTCAATGATAAAAATCTAAATGTTTAGAATTAGTCTTTTGAGGCAAGGAATATATTCCCAGAGAGGATTTTCTTCTGATTACTGGCTATTAATATCCTTATGAAGAAGATCACTAACAGCCTTGAGTTAACATGTATTCGTATACAAAATTGACCTGTTATCGGACTTTATAAAGAACATCAATGATAAATATTGAAAAAAATGAAACTGCGCTGCAAGATTGTTTAAGGTTATGTCAATATAGTGTTTTCACTTTGCCCGCGTATATCAGATATGTTGGAAATCAATTCCAGACATTGCTCGAAATGTAATCACAAGAAATTCCTCTCGTCAAGTCGACAGGGAAAATGTATGGAGTGTCAGTGATATATTTTTGTAATTTTTGTATGTAGTCAGTCGTAAGATATAGTTAATTGACCAACAATGTAGACACATTTATGATTTCCACTATTCGACAGCTCTAGGCAGTTAAGATTGAAGATAGCTCGTAATCTAAGACTGAATGTTTTCATAGAATTACTACCATAGAATAGGTAGAAACTTTTAACTGACATATCTCTTGTAAAAAATTCTCATTAATTTTCGATGCACACCCATTCATAGTTAATTCATCAGATAATCAAGCACATATATGCTCTCTATTAAAAAATGTATTAATTAAAATAGTAAATAGAATGAGGGGTTTCGTTTTCACAGTTAGTTGTCATTTAACCTCATAATGTTAACCTAGTAGTTCAAGAACCCTTACAACATTCGAGAGCAATAAAATCATTTGCAAGTGGAACAAACTGTACAATATTTCTCATTCAAAGTACATTCATTTAAAAATCTAATATTTTTTTTTTTACTTTTTTTAAACGGTGTTATTCAGTAATTGTTTATTAATTTTTAAATATCAATAAAGTACTTCCAAATCCGAAACATAACAATACTCGACACAAATTTGCGTTCGAATAATATTTTCGACAAACTTACGAATCTACAAACGAACAGAGAACAACTAATGTCACTGTATAAATGAACAGAAGAGGAAGATATTCAATTGAACCACAGAACTAGGAGAAATATACACCTTTTTACTTTACGAGTTCTGTGATTTGATTCAATTACTGTTATTTTTTTGTAAAGTTATTGATACACTTTGGAAACGAAACACTTGAAATAATTATTTTTGTTTCGCATCATTTGCTTTTTGTTGAAACAGTTTACCATGTGAACGTCTTAGGATTAGGAATATTTTATATTGGAAGGAATGCCAGTAAAATAATGCCAAGAAGGCAGGAACTATCTTATTTGATATCCAATATTCGTAATTTTCCTACTGAAATTTAGAACAGATTTGTGTTTTTCATAAAATTTGACGAGGAATCGCCTCCGAGAAAACATCACCATAATGTTGAAATATTGTCATGAATGCAATCATTTTTGACTTTGGGTTCATCAGATTATCTTTAACCTCTTATTGACGCAACCTCAGCAATAAAAAAAGTGTATATTACTATTTCATTTTGTTGAAAAATGAGCAGATATTTTCCCTCTCCTCCAATATTATAAAGAAAAAGTTGTTACTATTATTGTATTGTATAGTTATATTGTACCAATATATTCTTCATATTTCGTGCTGCTTGAGCTCTGTACGAAAATTAACACTGATATCCTTCCCAAGGAAAAAAGATCATCATCTTATTCTATGTATTCAACATACGGTTGAGTAAAATCAAAATTTGAAACAAGAGATTAGAGAAAGTACCACTCTTTTGAAAGAATAGTTCGCTATCTGAAATCTTTACATTGGTTTCTCTTTAATTTTTTGCCATGCATATGATAATACATGGACTGGACGTGATTTTTACATATATTCTACCTGCGATCACAAAATGCGTTGGTCACTGCATCACAGCATGATATGCCAAATCAAATCCCAAAAAATTCAACTGGGAAATATGCAACACAAAACATCCTGACGCATCTGACGTTTAGTGTATGAGTTACGTAATGCCAGGACTTGAATCTCATTTTTTTTTT